TGTTCTGTGTGACCTCTTTAGTGGTTGATTTAACGCATGTAGTGGTTTTGGTTTGGTTAATCTGACCCTGCAGCAGTAAGAAAACATTTCATATTGTGTTAGTGCTCTCTTATGATTTATGTAGCATAACACATTAGATCTCAGAAACGGTCTTTACAACATATATAGCTGTATCCCACCGAGTCCCTGAACTGTAAACAGTCATTTAGAGGACTGTGAAGATTAGTTTTTGTTTGAATTCATCATCTCCATTAATCTATAGGGTACTTTGACAGAATTACTTAGCAATCTTGTTACTGGCTGTTTCTTTTTGATGTTAACACCATACAGTCATTCTCAACTCTGTAGGTGCCTTAGTTGCTTGGCAACAGGATGGAGGGCTTGTATTTACTGATGAAGTAAAAACCTGCAAGGCAAGCGGATGTGTGTTAGAAGAGAGTAAAACGGAGCAGTTGTCAAGTTGAAAAAGAAAAGAGAAGCAAAATCAAGGCATTTATTATTCGGCAGAAACACAACACCTCATTAGGACACACTTCATTTGTTAATTTGATTTATCCATTGTATTCATGTGTGAAGTTTTGTTTGCTGAGTGCCAGTAGACTACTTTCACATAAAATAACATCAGTCAATGGCAGTTGCTAATATTTGTCTATTTTATCACAATATAGTTTTCTTTTTTTTAATCCTTTTTTTAATTTTTGACACAAACAGAGACTGACAAAAAATCCAAACAAAGAAAAAACAACAAAATCACAATTGTATCAGCATTAGCTACAAATAAAATCAACATTGGCTTGTAAATTAATTAAATGGGTTCAAACGTTATTATTATTATTGTTATTATTATTATTGTTGTTGTTATTATTTTTAGGTAAACTTACCTTTTTGCATCGTTTTAAGACTCATTTTGAACTTCCTATGTTTTTGACTTCAGCACAAACTCTTTACTGTGAGTGAAGTTGTACACACGTCATGTTATTACTGCTGATAACAAATATATTTATTGAACTTCATGTGTTTCTTCAGGTTTTGAGAGCATTCTCGAAGGTCTTTTTGGTTCAGCGCTGGTAGAGGACCTGAAATCATTTAAGGGTAAGTGTCTTTATTGACCACAATCATGCAAGTGTATGAACAACAGTTTTGTGGTTTCAGTGTAATCTGTTGTCTTTTTATTATGACAGTGCTACTGCATTGTACCATCTGGTACACATTCACTAAAAACGAGACAATGTCACTGCCTGCAGGAAAAAAAATGGCTTATGTCTTTACAAAGTATGTGTTTTGGATGGCATGTAGCCAGTGTAAAAGTCTCCAGTGCCCTACAGTGTATGACGTTAGAGAGACAATAATAAGCATTATTTGGGTTGTGTAGTGAGTAGACATTATGCAGTAGCAGTTGCTGCTTAAAATTCAACTGAACTGATTAAATGAGTTCCTGATTTTTGTCAGTCTCTCTAAAGCAAATCAGCACATATTCATTATGGCCCACTACTTCATTTTATTCATGCGGTTCTGTTTAGAGCTTTGTTTTTGGGTTGTGCACAAATGAATGTGAGATTTAAACATGAAAATGGAACATTGTAGGTTTGAAAATAACTATTTCTAATGAAGCACTTTACTCATGGATAAAGAAAATGATCACTGAATGTTGATAATAATACCGACAGGCAAAACAGAATGTTATATATTTTATATGTACCGATAGGTATTTAAGTTATTTTTGTTTAAAATTAGATTGCATTGGTAGAGCAGAAATCAAATATTGTAATTTTTTTTTTCCCCACTGGGTAAGTATTCGTTTTTTGATAGGTTCAGATAATAGTTTTTTTGGATTGTATTTAACACACATATGTAAGCTCAACCTTAGCATCTGACACTTTTTTTTAATGGCATTGTTCTTTCTTTGAAAAAGGAAAAAAAACCCAACAACGTCATGGCATTACTTTCCTGCCATAGTCATAGGTTGTGATTATGGTTGCTAAGCTTAAGACTCCAAACCAGTGTTATTCGCTACAGATATTTATAAAAAAAATGGAGGGTGGGGGGCGATTTTAAACAAATATTGTCCAATGTTGACTTGGTAAGATTATATTGCTTAGTTGGTTAGAAAAGTGAAAGAACCATGATTTTTGTCATGATTGTCGTTGTTTTTTTATTGATATTTTTTCCTGCAGACTTTGAGCCTGTAGCAGTGTCTGATTGGTCATTTGATGAAAACTGTCCCTTTTGCTGTCTGAGAAGAGACAAAGTCAAAGTAAGAGTTCTGTTTTCTTTCTTTCTTTCTTCCTTTTACGTTTTGATTTCCAGATTTTCATAGTTCGGAAACCTAAACGCAGACTTAAATCTGTTGCCTTCATTCTTCCAAACTCTGGCTTAGATGATGGATAAACGTTAGCAGTCTGCTATGGCTTGTTTAGTTTTAGTCACATCTGTAATCCATCATGTTTCCCTAGAATTGTTGGGCTAATTAATTTGGTGTAAACACTCATCTGAAGGATAAAAATGTCTTTATATAAATCCTGTTGAATGGCTGAAGGTCACCAATTTAACAGTTTTCCAATTTGACAGGAACACTTAATTGACTTAAACAACAAGGGGCTGGAAGATACATCGAAACCTCTACTGGGTAAAGATCAAATCACAATCAGCAGACTAGAGAAACAGGCTGAGGAATTTCTCAATGCAGTCCTCTGCAGAAAAGGTCAGTCTCAAAGGTTTAGTTCTGAGTGGGTAAATCAGTGTTTTTCATTGTTATTACACCAAAAGCATAACACAGGGAACCTGCCTGTAAACACAGTGGTGCACATTATCCATCCCTTAATAGGCTTTTGTGTGTGTGTGTGTGTGTGTGCGCGCGCGCGTGTGCATGTGCGTGTGCGTGTGTGTGTGCGCGTGTTCACTCACACTGCTTCTGCTCTTAGTTTATAACGTCTGTTTTTTTTAATCATTATTATTATTATTATTATTATTATTAAATTTTATTTTTTTATTTCAAGACTATAAATAAGAGTTTTTTCCTTACTGTTACAGTATTCTTACAACATAGTTTGGATGTTTGTTGCATGTTCATTAACCATGACTGATGACTTATTAAAGGAATGCTGACTGTAAAGTATTTATCTCTCTGTTTTTCTTCCTAGATGTGCCAAATTTCTCAGACCCACAAATTCCAGTAGTGGCTCGAGAGATTCTTCAGAAAATGATCAGACAGTTTGCTGCTGAATATACCTCAAAAACCAGCTCCCCTCAGGTCAGTTGCTCAGATTCCCAGCCTCACTCTGACCAAAGCCTGTCGACCCCACCTTTGCTCCCAGGAGTTCCTCCTGCTACAAGCCCTGCTGCCACACTGACTGGGCCAGCACACAACCAGAACCCCGTCCTAAGCAAGCTTCTAATGGCTGCTCAGGATGCACCTCTGGACCTCACCATCAAGAAGCCCATGGCTGAGCCCAGTGAGCAAGGTAGTGTGAAACACATCTACCACAGAGTAGTTTATTAAGTACTGAGCTGGTGCACTGGCTGGATTGTGGTCAGAACTTAACATTGAATCTACATTTCTTTTCTTTCCTTTTTTAAAATTAGATGGAGTTCTTGATTTATCTATCAAAAAGAAAAGCTATAGCAGCAGCCTGCCTGCCAATAGTCCCTGCCTTTCTCCGGCCACAACCATGCTGAAGGGGTAAGAACAGTTTCTTTCTCTCTTTTCTGCTGTACTAAGACGGGTCCCTTTTATCAGCAGCAGTTTGTTACATAGTGAGTAAATGTGGTTTAGAAGTAATTTAGTAGCTTGACTTTTCTTGGTTCTCTTTAATTAATTTCTGGCAAGATACAGGCAGGCCTTATGGTAAATGTAGTTTACTACATGACTCGAAGCATTGCTGATATTCTTGTGTCTATATACAGCAATAAACGACTGTAGCAGATTGCATAATGCGTAAACCCACATGAAACTGTTTTGGGGTTTTTTGTTTGTTTTTATGTATTTTTTCAGAATAAAAGATAATGCGGACTGAATGTTATAGGTTATACTAAACAGTATTTATAGGGGAAAGTCCCACTGATGAACTAAAGAAGAATTTCAGGGACTTAATTCTTTCTGTCATGTAAAATGAGAATGATTGATCAGTAATTTAAATATTTAATAATTATCTATGGCATTGCCCAAGCACTTATAACACGAGTTGTTTTAATATTGTACATGAACTTGATACATGGATGTGGCTTAATCTATCTTCCATTTAAGATGTACAAATTGTGAAAATCCAAATCAAAGGACCCCACCCCCCCTCTTTTTGTTTTGTTTTTGCACCCCAGCAGTGTCAGGCTCTGGAAACTGCTGAGAGCTCTGCAACTGATTTCTTTTTTAGGGGGTGGGGAACAATATAACTTGATTGATTAATTGAATAATTAAGAATAATAATTTGCAGTTGTTTTGTTTTTTGTAACTTAGAGCTTGAGTTTGATAGATTGCAAGAACCCTTTGCTGGCTTACTCTTTTATTGCTGTGCTTGTTCAGTGGTAACGTCACGCATAAACTGTCAAGAGATTTTGGTGCATTAGTTACTTTGTACGTCATAGATCTTGCGCCCTGCATCTACATCTACATCAGACTCCCTTACTGCAGTTACAAATAGTCCATTCTCCTGGGCAAGCTTTTTGAGCCACAGAAATGCCAAGTCTTCAGTGTATTTTACTAAATGCATCTTCTTTGATTTTTATTTTCATTGTTTCTTTGCCCTTTCCTTTTTTTCTTTTTTCCCTTATGTTTTATGAAAAAATAAAAAAACAACAGCTATTACATCAAGCATTTTTATTTTTTCTTAAAAAAAGTTTAACTTGAGTCTTTTTTGGGGGTTTTGTTTTGTTTTTTATTTTTGTTTTTCAAAAGCCACACACACATTCACGTTGTTCGAGTGATGTTACCAAAGCAAGGTCATATAATAAAGGAGTGGCCAACATCCTCCCCTCCCCACCCCATCCTCCCTTAGTAAAGAGAAAAGGGCACTGTGCAAGCTCTGCTTACACCCAATTTCCTTCCATCCAATCAGGCGATCCTTGAGAGCGGACGGGAATGTCGGGCTGTTTATGAGGAGCCTACAGGATGGGAGGAGGAGGGAGAATTTCGGCCACTCCACCTGTTATAAGCCTTCTTCGTCTCTTGCATACTCACTGCGCATCAAAGAGGAACCCGATCTGGAAAGCGACCCAGAGTCACCCCTCAGCCATAACCAAAGCTGCAGCCCCAATGACGTTTTCAGAAATGCTTCCAGTTCCTGGAATTCCAAAACTCATTTGGGAGCCCTGCTGAAGCTCAAAACCAGAAATGAAGCTAGTGAGCACCTTAAAGATATACCCAGGTTGTTGGAAGCTGCTGGACTTTTGACAAAGTCACTTGCCTGTGAGAAAGGAAACCTCCAGCAGTCCTGCAGAGACCAAAGCCTTTCTCTGTCTCATTCACCATCCTTTGACCTAAAGATTCCCCAGGTCCGAGTTTTGGCTACAGGAACAGATTCGTCATGGGACTCCGTGTCCACTGAATATTCAGGTTCACTTTATGAGAATGGCCTGGGAAAGAAGCTTTGTTCCATTCTACCTAGGCAGATCCAGAAAACCACCAGCAGCAGCAACAGAGGTTTAAATAGCTCAGGTTTGGAGAAGGAATACTGGAGTTTTACCTCTGACTGCCAAGCTTTGGGGGGGAACTATCCAGTGGATTCAGAGTCAGACCTAAGTAACAAGCAGCCTAGGAAGAAACGAGGGCGATATCGACAGTACAACACAGACCTGCTAGAAGAGGCCATTGTGGTGGTGATGGGTGGGAAAATGAGTGTTTCTAAAGCGCAATCGATTTATGGCATCCCACACAGCACCCTGGAATACAAAGTTAAAGAACGTCTGGGGACCTTAAAAAATCCCCCCAAAAAGAAAATGAAGCTGATAAGCCAGGTGGAAGAACCCAGCGTTTCACTGTCCCCCAAACAAAAGGATCTCCAAAGTTCCCAGCACAGTCTTTATGACAAAAAAGAGAGTGCTTCTGAAGAGAGTGGGACTGATTTTCGTGACTGCAGCCTCTTATCAAACGAGTGACGCATCCACAACATACTAACTGCGGTGTACTTTTTAATCATGGTGTTTGCCAGACCGTGGCAATACCCGTCTTTATTGCATCTCTAATAGTTCTATTTATTATTAACTTATTTAATTTTTATCACTAAATTTAGCACTTATTACATTAAAAATGTTTGCATAGGGCGTAAACACACAAGTGTCTCCCAGTATGTTGTGGCTTGGAGGGCATGCTTTTTATTTTAGAATTATTGAAATACAATAGCATGCTGGTAATTAAGTTTTAGTTATTGATTCAAATTAAGCTTTAAAAATTCACTCCTTGCTCTGTTCTTTACAGAGCCAAACTGAAGCTTGTACAAGGATGTGGCGCCCCATAGTGTTCTCTCTTGATATTGGTCATGTTCAAATGAAATAGTTCCAAGTATGCAGAGCCTGTAGTTTGGGTGAAAACATATGAAGTAAATTAATGCATGGAACGACTCTAAAAGTCTCAAAGTTTACAGATATCGTTGGAAACAGACAGCGGGAAGTATGGCTGCATACTAGCCTATTATTTATATAAATGTATAAGATATGGAATATAGCATAATGTCATTCTGGACTTTATCTGCCTTTAAAAAAATCCTAATTCCGCTCATCCTCACAAGCACAGTGTTTTTTTCCACTACTTCTACTTAGTTCTGTACATTTTACTCTGCTATATGATTGGCAATAGTTTCCATTGCGTTCTATACACTCAGGTTATGTTTAAAACAATGCATTACTACACACACATCTAGACAGTTATACCTCAGCTACATACCTCAGCTCAATCATTGCCGAAGAAATCCCCTGTAATAGTAAAGGATTGAATATCCAAATAAGCCTTTTTTTAATGGTAACATTCAGGATGTCATACTGATGAGTGTGTGTCCTTCTCTCGTCTTAACAACCTTATTTTCATTAATCTGTAGTATTTCAGTGCTAGTGTAAGCCTGCAGAGCATTACATTTCTGTGTGATTTTTTTTTTTTTTTCAATGTTTTGGGGGGTTTTTTGGTTGGTTTTTTCCTCTTTCTTCAAACTTCAGGTATTCTATCGTGAGATGTGATACAAACCTTTCTGCTATCTTTTGTCATAAAAATACTGCATACATACAATATACACATACACCCATGAGAGATAATAAAATAATATTTTTTTTTGGTCATTCTATAGTGAGTACGATAACTGTAACTAAATCTGGTTACAACCATGCCTCAGTCCATGCTTACCCTGTTTTCAAGTTGCCATGGCAAAAATTCAATGAAAAAATACATTGATTGGCTGTATTCATTAATTGAATGTAAAATGTTAGGTTAGGCTTTTTTTCTTGTTACCGTTATGGCTTTTGTGAATAGATTGTTCATTTGCACATGAGTGCACACATACTGGGATGTGGGTTTTTTGTTTTTTTTTTCAATTGATTAGATGATAGTGTACCAAAAATGTGTTTATGTTTGGACAACAACAAAACTACAACCACCAGCAATTTTCTTTTCTTGAAACTGACTATGTAGGGTAGCGGGTTGACAGTAGAAAGAGGCTCCTTAGCTGTTAGCTGCTTCACTAAAATTCACATTGATGCCATTTCATTAAAAATAACAAATACTTAATTACTTTGCTGTTACCATGTGGAAAGGGCTGCATTTAAAAACCTCTACAAAATGCCTTTTTCATGTTGCTATTTTCATCGAATTTTTGCCTGGTTTTTGACCCAGCCTTGTCCATTAGTTTGATCAGGACACCTCCTTGTGCGTTATTGATTACAGCTCAGGATGCTAAACATTATGGGCTCATGACCCATTATTTCTGTCACGTTTCCATACAGGTCTAGCAAGTTTTGGTAATGAGTCTTTGTTTGTTTTTCGTTTTTAAAGATTTACTGGGTTTTAATCATATTTGCTGTCATATTACAGAAACTTACACTACACAGATGTAGTTCAGGGCCTTGCACATTTGTATTTATACCACTGTAACAACTCTACTGTAACTATAATTATAATATAGTAACCCTCTGTTGTTTATTCTCCACCTTTAGCTATTATTTAATAAGTGTTTTTATGGTTCAAGGAAATAAACCCCAGATTTAAAAAACAAACATGTAATACATCTGAATCACTTACCATGGTTTACAACATAATACCAGTAGTTGCTTCAATTACAGATGTACATATACAAGTAAATCTAATCACTGATTTGATTTCAGTAATAAAATTATTTTTGCACTGACAATCCTCAGGCATTGCTGAAATATAAAACTTTATTGTCTAATGCATTTAAGTTGATATACTAAAGTCATAAAAGCGCTTTTGGGTTTATTGATAATTTATTGATTGCTCCTTACATTCTGTTGTAGCAAATCCAGTGGTTGACTACCTCATCTGGAAAGCCGATATCACCACTATCACTGTTCTCAAAGCTGTTTTATGTAGCAATCTCATGCACACAACACAATACTGTAAATTTCTTTGTGTAAAGGCAAATGATTTAAAGCAGAGTGTTAATCATATTGATATAAGTATAAAAGTTAAACTATATGTAAATATTTCTGTCTATACTTTTTTTTCCCCCCCCATGTGTGGGTATGGAGCAGTTTAGGGAACTTATTCTGGTCGTGACATGATACATTTCCTCTGCGTTGAAGGAACTATGTTGCTAAAATGGGGTTAGAATCTACTTCTTCTTAGATACCTTCCAAATTTTATTATATTGTCAATTTAGTATTTATTAAGCTTTTTTTTATTAAAATGTAACGTTAACACTTAAATTGAGAATGTAAACAGCTTTAATTAAACTCAACTCTACTTAAAATAATAATAAGCCTGTGTGTATATATCTTAAAAGGTTTATCAAACTGTTATAAGAGATAGCTGTGGAGCAAGACTGTACTAATTTATTATGGGCAAGGTTTTGCATGTGAGGACTGAAGTCGCTCTACAAGCTTAAATGTTGAGACTCTTTAGCTGATTGCGGAGTATCCTTATCCATACAAATATGTACAGATCTTGTACATTTTATGTCACGTTAATAGCATATAAATGAATGGCACTGGGTGTATTTTTGCATGATTGGACTAAATCATATTTGTCATTTGGGGATTTTGTTCTGTATGGTGAATTTTATCTTTTGGGGTTGTTTTATTGAATACAAACAATGGGGTGTTGGTGTGTTTAATGTCAAGTAATCACTGTAAGAAGTAGATTCACTTTGAGCCTAAAATATTTCTTAACCAGTTAAAAATCTGGTCAGTGGTTAAGGATGTTATAAATGCCCTTGTATAGCAGATCGTAATTTTGAGATTATTTATCCTCCTATTGTATACAGTGTGTAAACTTTGTGAATGAGTTTACTCATCCACATTTTTCTGCTTGTGAAATATTGTGAGCTGGTATGTAATTTGGTTTGCTTGTACTTGTTAGATTGACTACTTTACTTCACTTGAAGAAAAAGTACTTGGTTTTGTAGCAATGATCAGAGAAACAGAGTGGAAAAACCCTCAGGGATGAAACTCTCACCAGTAGTTATTCAGGTACTCCACTTTAATGCTTAGGCTTTGCAGGGAGGGGTGTGAAGTTGACGAGCTTAGCAAAAAAATCATCAGGTTCTAGTTACAGTTATTTTTTTTAATCTCTAAAATGTATTTTTAAAGCTCTAAAATTTACTTTTGAAATATTTGACATGCTGTGCAAATAGCTTCATGGTTAGAGCCAAAAATCCTGCAGTACAGCTTTCCATCTTTGACTACTACACTACACAATGAATATCAGGGATTCAAGAATAAGCCCAGAAACTTTCTAACGTCCTAATAGTCTTTTTGCTTGCTGAACATTCATTACAGCCTTCACACCCTCATTTTAGAGTATACAATAACCTTTTGTGATATAAAGCTGAAATTCATTAAAAAAACAAAGTCACCATTATGTTGTCTTGCTCATGCTTGTAGTGCAGTTTACTGCTAGTATATAATAACCTGTTTGATCCATGAAATTTCACTTTGTTCCTTTTTATGTAGCTTCTAACACAGAGGACAGGCATAGCAAACCTGATTTGTTATGCAGCCTTAGCTTGCTGTGGCAATAGTTGTTCCAACTTGAACAAAAGACATGAGAAATTCACGTTTGTGATGTCAAAATGAAAAAATGTTGTCCAGTGTTACTTGGCAATGTAGTATTAGCTAAAGTTGTGTGTAAATATGATTTATAGTTTATTTTCAGACAAAATATAATTTTGTCTGAATATAATTCAGCACAACTTCACATTTATTTCTGACTTCTTGATCTTTTACTTGGCAGAATCTGCTGCTCCCACAAAACTGTTGGTCTTTTTTTGTTGCTGGCATAGCTTTGTAGCATATCACCTCATGAATGCAGACGTGGTTTCGTTTGTTCCTATGTTTTCTTGTTTAAAGACCCAAAGTGCAGCTTCTGAAAGATCTTTTTTTTGTTAAGCAAAGAAAACAACTTTTCATAGTCGCGGATATATTTTTGGCATAATGTTATGATTTAAAGGCTCTTAATGTAGTAAGGTATCGGGATTTTGTAATAGATCTATTAGATAAATGTAACTTAGAAATAAAGAGAGATACCCGTTTGGCACAATTATTAATTTTTTGATTTGCATTGGCATAAATAAAATTTTGGTATTAGAGTAACACATTTTTTTAATATCTTTAGTTATGTTTGATTTTTCTTTTTTTGGTTTGTTTTATATTGTGAAAGGTGACTTGAGCATTTGTCATTTAAAACAAAACAAAACAAAACTTGACATATAAACTTGACAAATCTGATATATTTGATTTTTGCCCCTAATGTAGTTGGTATTATAAGTAATATGTTTTCAACATGGTTTAACCAAATGGGCTACCATTACTTATTGTCTTGTGCATGTATGATTTTTTTTTTTTCTTAATGTAAAATATAAAAAACAAAAAAAATGTAATGGGTGTAATACTGCAACTGGTCAAGTTCACTGGACAAATGATTTGCTTCTAAAAAGTATCACTTATTCTTCTAATAAATATATATGAATAAAAAAAATATAAACTTGTATATTATTTCACACAAACATAAATCTGCTTCCAGGTTTTTTTTAACTACTAGAGATGAAAACTCACTTATCTGCAGAGCTCGTATCAGTCAAAAGAATGAACCAGTGTTGTTTCAGATTGATGGAGAATTTAATGTTTCCTTCTTCTTTTCCTCCCAGTGAGTCTCCGGACCGCCGTCTCGCAAAGGCTAAAGACCTGCAGTCCACTTCCACTCTGGAACAGTTCATGGCCAAGCTCTGCCCCCACCATCAGAGACAGATAGTAGATGCCATAGGTTTTCTACAGACGGAGATCAAAGCACTTGCATCCTCCAGTGCACATAAAGCCTCTAACTGTACCTCTGGTGTCAAGGGAACTTCTTGTTCCACTGCAAAATCCAGTGCAGTGACTCCTGAGAAGTCACACCCTGAGATAAGATTTCCCAGTGAAGTCACTTCCAAGCCAGAAGTCCCAGGCAGTTGTGCAATGAAAAATGTTCCAGAAAATGCTGTGCCACTGAAATCGTCTATAACCCCTAGCACTGTTTCGGATCTTCGCAGCCCTGGGTCAGGGAGTAACCAGGCTTTGGTGACCCCCATTGCTCATCCAGTAGATGCAGAGAACCGTCATGGTGATCATGCACCTCTTAAGATCAAAATTATGACCTCTAATGATGCTGCTGGTAAGAAGCTGTGTGTGCTCAGTCCCACTGTTTCTACTCACTCTGACACTTTGGAGGAGAGACAGAACTCTGATTCATCCAACAGAACAGAGACTCAGACTGCCAGACTGAGCTCTTCTGTAAAAAGACATAATCAGGGTAGCCACACACATGAAGCTAGGCAGAGGGTAACTATTGGACATCCCAAAGACACACCAACAAAACTGTTTCCCATCAACAGTTCTTCAGACTCTGTGCGGACGGCCAGGAAGACCATCAGGTCGTCCTCTGATCATTGGACCAAGGACTCTCCATCTAAAGGAATAATTGACCCTGATCTTGGCCACTGTGACATTGTTTTTATTGACAAATCAATTACAGAGTGTGTTAAGGAGCCGCGGCACAGCATGGTACCACGCCGAAATGCCAGAAAAAGCACCAGAGGACATTTGTGGTTGGGACCAGATGAAATCTGGGAGTTAAAAACTGTTCGTACTTTGGCTGGAAAGGGTAACTGTCCTAATCCAATGCCAAAGCTCACACCATTGGTCACTCCAAAGCAAATACTTTCAAAGCCTGAAGGTGTGCCACCTGTGGATATGCCTTTTGTTGGATCATGCACGGAGACAATAAATCAACAAATGCCAACAGAGGAGACAGATGATAGTGTGATACCAGGCACAGAGGATATCATAGAGGTAGCAGCCAGTAGAGTAGATATTATAGTTGAAACTAGTCAGACAGATCAGTGTCAGAGCAAGGGGCAGTCTAGTCCTTCATCTCC